CTCTTTGGAAATATGAGTTGGAACCAACTCGATGGCACTTAACAACAACAACAGTGACACAGTGGTTAAGCACTTGGCTGTCAACCGAGAGGTCAGTGTTTCAAACCCACCAGCCACTACTCTTCAGAGGAAAAGACTGAGCATCTGGTCACATAAAAACTGTTGCTGTTAGGTGTTGTTGAGTTGATTGTGACTGATACCAATCTCATGTGACAGAGAAGAACTTCTCCATAGGGCTTCTAAGGCTGGTGGCACTAGAGGGTAAGCACTGGACTGCTCACCACAAGGTCAGCAGTTCAAATCCACCAGTGGCTCCTCGAGAGAAAGACAAGGCTGTCTGGTCCCATATAGAATTACTGTCTCAGAAATCCTATAGAGGGTCACTGTGAGTAAAAATCAATTAGACGGCATTGGGTTTGTTTTGACTTTGTTCATCTTTATGGCGGCAGATCAACATGTCTTTTCCTGGGGTGTCCCCTGGTGGGTTCAAACCAGTGACTTTTTTTTTTTTAGTTAGCAGCTGAGCACAAAACCACAGCACCAGTAGGGCTCCTTAAGGTCCCAGTTTAGGAGACCCTTTGGGAGAATCACTGTGAGTACAGAAGTTGACTTGATGGCACACAACAACAATAATTAGCAAGAGTGAAAAGATCAATGAGTGGGCAAGGAGAATGAACCATAATCAGAAAGAGATGAGGGACCACATCCTACTATGCTTTAGAGGCCACCCAAGGACTTGGGCTTTTGTTGTAAATGTCGTGGGAGCAGACAGTGACGCGAGCTGGCCTATACTTTAGAAGGGCAAGGGGTGATTAGGGAGTTTGTGAAGTAATCCAGCTGAAAGCTGTTGGCAGTGTGGACAGGGAGGTGGCAGTGGAATATGGCAGGAGGCAGAGCTGGCAGGGTTTCCTGATGGATTGGTGTGAGGCTTAAGCACCTGGAAGGATGGAGCTGCCATTCCTACGCCATGGCTCACATTCATCTTCTCTCCAGTTTCACAGGCACTCGGAGAGTTCAGGCCCCATTAATTCTCATTACTGTAATCGCCTTCTAACAGATACTGCAAATATGTTCTTCTTCTTGAGAAATGGTTTAGTTCAGTGCAGGCCTTGGTAAAGACCTTGCCGTGGCTGGCACGGCCCATAGACTAGCATGGCAGCCTCTTCATCATCTGGTCCGTTCCCACTTGCATGTCATCATTTCCCTTTAGGAACTCATTGCTCTAGTTCAGGGGTTCACACCTCCACCGCATTATGACAGATATGCTATGAAGGACGATGTTCTCAGGTCATCCATTCCTAGAGCTGTCGGGTACTCGTAATTGCTGGTGACCCTAATGCCACCACTTTCCCTCCGAGGCAAGAACTTTAGCCCACTTTTGGTATATGACATGCTTTCAGAAAGCAAACCATTTGCTCAGTGTTACTGGAGGTAGGGTTGGGAGCCAACAGCATTAGCATCACATGGGAGTTGGATAGAAATGCAGATTCATGGGCTCCACCCCAGACCCACTGAGTCAGTATCTGACTGTAGGGCCCATTAATCTGCATTTTTCAAGAGTTTTCCAAGTGACATTTGATAACGTTTGAGAAATATTGAGAAGTCTCAACACACTTCTGAGTTCCTGTGTCGTGCAGACAGTTAGCAAGCTCCTCCGCTGCTAACCCCTGGGCTTGAATTTGATCTACCCAGAAGCACCTCAGAAGAAAAGTCTGGTCAGCCACTGAAAAACCTAAGGGAACAGCTCTAGTCTGACACTTATTGCATCACCATGAGTTATAATCTAGTCCACAGAAACTGGTCAAACTGGACAGCAGTACACCTCTATGGATCTGGTAGCGCAGTGGTTATGAATTGGGCTGCAAACCGCAAGGTCAGCAGTTCGAAACTGCCAGCTGTTCCACAGGAGAAAGATGAGGCTTTCTGCTCCCATAAAGATTTACAGCCTCGGAAACCCTGTACAGGGTCGCTATGAGTCGGAACTGACTCCACTGCATATAACAACAGGCCCCTACGGCAGGATAATTGGTGATGATATGGTTAAAGCGTTTGGTTGCTAACTGAAGTGTGTGTGGTTCAAACCCACTAACTACTCGTGGGAGAACCATGTGGCAGTCTGCTTTCATAAAGACTTACAGACTAGGAAACCTTATGGGGTTCTATAGAGTCACTATGATTAGAGATTTGCTCAATGCACTGGGTTTAGTCTTTTGGAGAACCATTGATCTAGCCTAGTGGTTCTCCACCTTGGTCACACACTAGAATCTCCCAGGGAGCCTGGGCTCCAGAGACTGGGATTTAAACAGGGGAGGCAGGATTCAAGTGACTTGAATTGTGCAGTTGGGTCTGAGAACCTCAATTTGGCAGGGGTTCTACATTCTGTTTCCAAGCACAATTGTATTTCTCTCTCTCTTCCTAGAACTCTGGCCCATGCCATCTCCATAGTGCCAAATCCCAGCCATCCCATGAGGGTCCCAAACTCTACCTTCTCACACAGGTCCCGGCTTCCCTCCTCCTGTGCATTCTTGTACCATCTCTGTATCCTTTGCACTACACGGATTCTTTTCTACCTTTCTTCATCATTTAGGTTTATTTTATTATCTCTTAACTATGTGATATTTGTTATAATAGCCATTTCTGATCAGTCTTGTATCTTCCAGTAACCTAGAAAATGGGGAGTGCTTACAAATGTGTTCACATGGATCGGTGCTGTGGAACTTGTAGCCAAATGTGGCCCTTGCATTGTTCTCTTTGTTAGAACAATGGGGCATCAGGCAATGCAATGGTGAAATGGTGTTTCTCAAAGTATGTTCTGTGGAGCACTACTATTATGTCATATATTAATACCAACTCTGTGGAAAAACTGTTCTTTAACCAATGTTGCTGTTGTTAACTGCCATCAATATGGTTCCAACACAGAGCGACCCTGTATAAGGTTTCTGAGGAGCAGCTGGTAGGTTTGAACCACCGACCTTGGTGGAAAGCAGTCCAGTGGTTAACCTAGAGTGCCACAACAGGGCTCCAACAAAAAAGCATTTGGGAATCCTTATACATGCCATGACTTCTACACCAACTCTCCAGGGCTCCCTCCTATGCCTAGGCCATGCCTCGTTCTTCCTGTAAGTTATTAGCACTTTTCTCTCTATCGACTTGCAATTCTTGGCACATAACATCAACCATCTTAAACGGAACAATTCAGTGGCATTTACTACATTTACATGTTGTGCGACCATCACCTCTATCCAACTCCCAAATATTCTCATCACTCCAGAAGAAACCCACATACCCATTAGGAATCACTTTCCATTCGCCCCCAGCAATAGATAATATACTTTCTGTTCCTGTGGATTTACCTGTTAATGACATTTTATCTATCACCTGTCTATTGGCTGGTTGGACTGTGGTGACTTGTGTGCTGCTATGATGCTGAGGCTATACCCCTGGCATTTCAAATAAGCAGAGGCACCCATGACGAACAGGTTTCATGAAGCTTCCAAATTAAGAGCAACTGTTGTTGTTGTTGTTAAGTGCCATCAAGTTGGTTCCGACCCATAGCAACCCTCTACAGGGTTTCCGAGGCTGTAAATCTTTACGGGAGCAGAAAGCCTCATCTTTCTCCCATGGAGCAGCTGGTAGTTTCGAACTGCTGACCATAAGGTTCGCAACCCGATTCGTAACCACTACGCTACCAGAGCTAGAAAGGCCTATAACCACCACCACCACCACCACCACCAGAAAGGCCTAGTGGTGTACTTCTGAAAACCAGTCAATGACAATGCAATGTAAAACACAACAGAATACTGCCCAGTGCAGTGCTGGAGAAATGAACCTCCTAGGTTGGAAGGCACGGGAGAAAGGTGAGGCTTTCTGCTCCCTCAAAGATGTACAGCCTTAGAAACCCTATACAGGGGTGCTCTGAGTCAGAACCCACTTGACTTAACACCAGCAGGTTAGAAGGTCCTACACAAACAGACCAACGGTTATGGAGATGGTGTATGACCAGGGACCAACAAACACAGAAGGCTGCCACCAACTCCCAATACCACCAGCAAGTTTCATAGAAATATGGCCTCTAGGTCTGGTTTCTTTCACTCAGCAGAATGTTTGCGAAGCTCCTCAGTCTTTTTCACTGCACTTTTCTATTTATCACTCAACTGTAGTTATTTTCCTCCAAGGTTCTACCCTTCGCTCTTTTTATGGATTGCATTATGCTCTGTGAAGACGACAAGAACAGTCATTTTAATCCATGAGAGCAGCGGTCAGTGAACTACAGCCTGCAGGCCCAATCTCCCTGGCTCTGGCCTGTTTGTATGAAGTTTTATTGAAATCACAGCCACGCCCATCCACTTGGCTTCTACCATGGTGCAAGGGTGGAGTCAACAGTCACAACACATGTGACCTACAAAGCCAAAGATGTTCGTTCTCTGGCTCTTTAAAGAACAAGTGTGTGATGCCTACATTCGAAAGAAGTGGCACGTGCTGATTTTGCTAGGCACTTGCATCATTTTCAGTGGGATTGGAAGGAGCAGGAGCTGAGAAGACTTCTGGCTCCTTTAAGAGATTTGCACAGTTCATCTGGGTAAAGAGAGAAAGCACAAAACCACTGTCACCAAGTGGATTCCGACTGAGAGCAACACCACAGGGCAGAGGAGAACTGCCCCATCGGGTGTCCAAGAGCCTCATCTTCCTCCCGTGGAATTACTGGTGGGTTCTAACCACCAGCCTTCCGGTTAGCAGGTGAGTGCTTAACCAGTGCCCCACCAAGGCTTGTAAGAGAGTGGAAAATATAAAAAGGCAAACACTCTGGTTAGCATCCGCAAGTGGGAACTTTAATTAATGGAACAATACTGAAGGACAAAATAACCCCCCCACACACATAATAATTACGAAATGATCACTTGATATCCAGAGAGACTGGCTATGTGACTAGGGCATGCTGGGACGTTCCCTGAGAACCTCTGTGGAGCGGGGAGAAAGAGGCTGTCCCATGTTGGGGGTGCTCAGAACTTCAGGGGGATAACCGGCCAATACTTGGGCCGCTTGCGATCGCAGTGCTTGTTAAAGTTTAGCTGCACTGCGGCTTCCATGGCCTGGATTTTGGCAGCGCCGTCCCCATACAGGCGCTTCATCTCGATTGCACGCCTCTCGTTGGGTCTCTCGGATGGAGCCTCCACTGACCGGTGGGTGTTGTAGTACAGGTCGTGGTCAGCATTCACATAGTCACCCAGGCGTTCAGCGTCCAGCTGCTGCTGCCGCCCTGAGAACCAATACACAGGAAAGGAGCAGAGTGAATGTGGCTTCAGATGGAAGGGGGAGGGCTGGCTCCTGGGCTTTACCTTCCACTGGGAACCTGTGCGATGGGGCGTCTGTGGCTTAGCTGCTTGGTTATGAATCTCACTGTTCACTGTCAGGGGTTCTACACCGCTAGGTGCTGAAGATGCTGACTCAAAGCAGCCTTCTAGGACAGGGCCACAAGGGGTCTCCAGGCTGTCACCTTTATGGGAACAGATGGCCAGTTCTTTCTCCCATGGATCAGCTGGGTGAATTTCCACTGCCAACCTTTTGGTTGGTTAGCAGTTGAGTACTGAACTGTGTAACCCCAGAGCTCCTTTCTACACTGCTGTTGTTGTTAAGTACCATCGAGTCGGTTCCAACTCACAGGAGCACACAACCTCATCTATACTGATAGAAATGGCAAAAAGTCCTAAGGAAACATGGTACCCCAAACAATCAAACCTGGCAGGGGCCATAATAATTAAGTAATTAAAATAAAGAAATTGAGACATATTAATCGAGGAATTAAAATAAATAAATGAGACGATGGGGACCCTGCGCATAGAAGAATTCATTGTTTTAGCAAAGCAACAATGGAGTATTTTCCTTGAATAGCAGAGCTACAAGGAAGAAATATTCTATGCACAGGCCCCTAGTTAATTTTTCTCTTGTTGAATCATTCTCTGATTTATTCATGATTTTATTAGCATCCCTTTACTTTGGATTTTGACTCTCCCACACTTTAGTATATTTTTTTATTAAAAGTTAGAAGCCATATATTAGCTACATTTTATTCTACTTGTAATCATAGGTAGTTTCAATACTTATATTAACAATGTTCTTAAGACTGCTAGGAGACAGGATTTGTCAATTGAATTACTACCAGCTTAGGCTTAGTGATTATAAACATTCTTCCTTGTAACCTTAGTTTAAGGCAATAAAGAATCCCTAAAAGCAACTAGGCCATAAATAAGGGCTATGGGTACAAGAATTCCTAAAAACAATTAGACTATAGATAAGGGCTATGAGGATCTACAGTTACATAAATAAGAAGTCTGATCAGTAAAATAGGGAAGTTGTTTTTCATAGCCTCAGTTTTTT